GAGAGGACATCAACATGCTGTTCATCGGGGACCTCTCCAGGCTTCGTGGGAATCTGACCTCGGGACCCCCCGGGACACCCGCCCCGGGGCCCTCCAGGGTCGCCCCAGGGACCACCCCTCCCGGCGGGGAAAGGACAAATAGAAGGGGCTTCTTTTCGACGTGATGACGACATTGTTCTCTTACGATGGCGACGCTGGCGAACTTCAGGTTGGGTTGGGTTGGCCTCGCGTCGAAGAACACGCCGGCTGGGTCGGCGAAGTTCAAAATCGCGATCTCGCGTGGGACGTCCTCACAAAGCATGCAAGACTCGCGCTCTCGCGTGGGACTTCCTCGCAATGTATTCGGACGCCGCGTCCTCGACGCCCGCGACTTGCGCTTTTGTTTTCGATGTCCTAACGATGTTCTCGGGAAGCGCGCTGCCGCTTGGGACGTCCTCGCGATTCATGCAGGACTCGCGCTTCAGCAACCCCCTGCTTCCTCCGCCTTGCATTTGTCCTCCGTTCCCCTGCTTCAAAGGCTGCGCCAAGCGCGCGTGGCAGGCGAGGAAGATACACCCCCAAAGGGGCGCGATCGAAGACAAAAATGGCGGCCATCGGGAATTGCGGATCTATCTTTTGAGCGGCACGCGAGCAGGTTAGAGCGAACAGTCTTGAAATGACTGTTGTTGTTGTTGTCTTCGCAGTCGCGACCCGGCCCGCGGCGCGCCTGCGACCCGCCCGCGACCTAACCGCGATTTACCCGAGACCCACCCGGGACCGACCCGCGACCCGCCCGCGACCCACCCCGCGAGCCACCCGCGACGCGACCCGCCCGCGACCCACCCCGCGCCCGCCCCGTCACTCTGAGAGAGCGCGTTTCACGAGCGTCTGCCTTGGGAACATTCGGCGGCGCGTTTCGAAACGGGGGGTGGGCCTCCCCGCCCAACACTGGGGGCCGTCGATCAGAAGCAGGGGCCCCCCCTCCCCCCGTACCCCCCCCGCCCTCCCGAACCTCCCCCGCCCCAAGGGAGGGGGAGGTCCAAAACCGAGAAAGTGTCAGATCACAACCGGTCGGGTGAGATCCCAACGGAACGGGTCCAATCACAACCGCCGAGCACAGCTGGGACTGGTGAGATCCCAACCGCTCCAGGGGAATCTTTCGGGCACTTGAGAACTTCTGGGAGATTCTGTAAGATTGTGAGAGATTCTGGAAAATTCTCACAGATTCTGAAAGATTCTGAGAGAGTCTGAGAGAGTCGAAGAGATTCAGACAGATTCTGAGAGATCCTAAGAGATTCTGAAAGATCGTGGAAGATTCTAAAAGATCCTGAAAGATTCTCCGAGATTCTCAGAGATTCTTGAAGATTTTCAGAAATTCTCAGAGACTCTGAGAGATTCTCCGAGATGCTCCGAGATCCTCAGGGATGTTGTGAGATTCTCAGAGATTCTCAAAGATCGTCAGAGATTCTTTGGGATTTTGAAAGTTTCGAAAGGATTCTCCAACATCATGAGAGATTCTGAGAGTTTCTGATAATTACTACTACTACTACTACTACTACTACTACTACTACTACTACTACTACTACGACGACGACGACGACGACGACGACGACGACGACGACGACGACGACGACGACGACGACGACGACGACGACGACGACGACGACGACGACGACGACGACGACGACGACGACGACGACGACGACGACGACGACGACGACGACGACGACGACGACGACGACGACGACGACGACGACGACGACGACGACGACGACGACGACGACGACTACTACTACTACTACTACTACTACTACTATTACTACTACTACTACGATTACTATTACTACTACCCTTACGGCTACGACTACGACTACTACGACTACTACGACGACGACTAGTATTACTACTACGACCACGACGACGATTACCAGTAGTACGGCCACCACTATTGCTACGACCGATACTAGTATTACTACTACCACCACCACTGCTACTACTACTACTACTACTACTACTACTACTACTACTACTACTACTAGTACTAGTACTACTAGTACCACCACTACCACCACTACTACTACTACTACTACTACTACTACTACTACTACTACTACTACTACTACGACTACTACTACTTTTACTTCTACTACTACTACGACGACTACTACTACTACTACTACTACTACCACTACTACTACTACTACTACTACTACTACTACTAACTACTACTACTACTACTACTACTACTACTACTACTACTACTACTACTAACTACTACTATACTATACTACTACTACTACCTACTTACCTACTACCTACTACTACCTATACTACTACTACTACTACTACTAACTACTACTACTTACCCCTTCTAGTATTACTCGCAGTACAACTACTACTACTACGATACTACTACTACTACTACTACTACTACTACTACTACTACTACTACTACTACTACTACTACTACTACTACTACTACTACTACTACTACTACTACTACTACTTCTACTACTACCACTACTACTACCACTATCACTACCACTACTACTACTACTACTACTACTACTACTACTACTACTACTACTATTACTACTACTACTGCTACTACTACTACTTCTTCTTCTACTACTACTACTACTAGTACTACTATTACTACTAGTTACTATTACTACCACGACGACGACGACGACTGCTACTACTACTACTACTACTACTACTACTGCTGCTGCTGCTGCTACTACTACTACTACTACTAATACTACTACTACTACTACTACTACTACTACTACTACTACTACTACTACTACTACTACTACTACTACCACTACTTGTACTACTACGACTACTTTTTTCTGCTATTCTTATTACCATTACGATCCAATAAAAGACGGGCGACTTCCCAACCGCTAAAGCTCACGCGTGAGTTGGCTCCTCGAGGGTTTCCAGTGAGGCTGCAGATTGCAATGAACAACAATGATCATGTTTTTATGTGTTTTCTGTATTAAGTGGCTTCCTCCTCGGATGGGATCTGACCATGCGTGGGGCTTTGGACGGTTGGGATCTCACCCGTCCGGTTGTGGTCTCACCCGACCGGTTGTGATCTCGACCCATCGCGTCCAACCACCCCCCCGGCGCCGGCGCCGGCGCTGGCGGCCGCCGTACCGCCAACGCAGCGACGATGACCAGAGAGAGCCCAGGAAGGGGGGGGGGTTCAAACCCTCCCCACCGCCGGCGCCGGCGCCGGCGGTGGCGGTGGCCAGCAGCGCCGACGGCGGGGACGCAGTGACGATGATCAGAGATGGCCCAGAGGCTGCATTGGGAACACACAAATCGCCAGATCGAGCCTTCGCATGCTCCTCAGACGCCCTGAGACCCTTCAGACGAGACTTCAAGAGGCATCCATTCGAACTCTGACCTTTTGCCAAAACACACTAGTGGGAAGACCCGAAGGCCACACCACCACCACCACCGCCACCACAGCCCACCATACCACCACCACCGCCACCACAGCCCACCATACCACCACCACCACCACCGCCACCACCACAACCACCACTACAATCACCACAACCCACCACCACCACCATCACCACAAACCGCCACACCATTACCACCACCATCACCACCACCGCCACAACCACCACCATCACCACAACCCACCACCAACACCATAACCACAAACCACCACACTACCACCACAACCACCAACACAACCACCACCACCACCACCACCACCACCACCACCCACCCACCACCCACCACCCACCACCCACCACCCACCACCCACCACCCACCACCCACCACCCACCACCTACCACCACCACCAGCACCACTACCAGCAGCAGCACCACCACCACCAACACAACAGCCCACCACCACCACAAACCACCACGCCACCACCACCACCACCACCACCACCGCTACCACCACGACCACCACCATCACCACGTGAACCCACCACCACCACCACTACCACCAAACCACCACACAACCACCACCACAGCCACCACCACCACCACCACAACAGCTCACCACCACCATCACCAATACAACAACCCACCACCACTACCTCCACCATCACCACATTCTACCACACCACCACCGCCACCGCCACAACCACCACCACTACTACCAGCAGCATAACCCACCACCACCACCATAACCACAACAAACCACCTCGTCACCAATCACCACCACCAATACCACCATCACCAACACCCCCGCCGCCGCCGCCAGCCGCCGCCGACGCCAGCGCCGGCCCGAGGAGGGGGAGAGAGGAGAAATTGGGGGGAGGTCGACCCCGCCCCCCCCTCCGTCACGGGGGGGAGGGGGTCGAATCCCATCCAAGGGTGGGGGGGAATCCGGTTCCAACCTCCCCCCTCCCAAGCGACCACAGAACGCGCTCTTTCGTCACTCTACTCCGCAACTGTGGGGTGCTACAGATTTTCGTAGCGCCTCGGAGGCTCTTTTGGCTCGAGCCTGGCCCCGAGCCCGTGGAGGGCGGAGAAGACCTCCCCCCCCGTGGCCTGGAGCGCCCCTCCGCGGAGGACGTGCGATGGGCGCGTGCCCCGCGAGGCAGTGAGGGCGCCGCGGGAGCGCCCCAGGAAAGGCCTGCCGGCGTCCCGCAGGAGTCCCGCCGCCCAGGACTCGGCGTCTACAATCGGCAAGTCGAGGAGGGGGGGGGCTTCTTAGAAGCACCCCTGCTTCTTAGAAAGCGCGGGCCGTACCTGCAGATGTAGGGCCGGCGCCTTCTAAGAAGCAGCCTCCTTCTAAGAAGCTTCCCCCATTGCCCCTACCCTTCTCTGCGCGCCGCCAATGCAACGGGTATGGTTACGCTGGGGTGTGGTTTGCGATCGGCACCGTTGGGGCCTGGGGAGCACAACGCTGTCCTCGTCGGGCCTCCTCGGGGCGCGGCGGAGAACTCTGTCGAGGTCCTCGCCTGCACCCCACGGTGCCATCCAGGGTGCTGGCTGCAAACCACACCCTTTGAAAACCGCACCCGTCGGAGCCGCCGAAGGATGAACCTGCTGGACGAGAGGCGGCGGCAGGTGTCGGGGGCGGCCGGGCGGGGGATATCACCGGGGGGGGAAGCATCATGGCGGGGGCCGTGAACAGGTGCCAGGCCCCCACCCTCGGGGCATGAGGAGGAAGAGGAGGAGGAGGAGGAGGAGGAGGAGGAGGAGGAGGAGGAGGAGGAGGAGGAGGAGGAGGAGGAGCCGCAGCAGCAGCAGGAATAGGTCTTCCCTCTCCCCTGGCAGTGCGTCTCCAGGCCCCTTCAGGGCCGCGCGCGCGCCTCGGGCCGTGATTTGCGACTCTCCCTCTTGGGCGCCCCCGCGTGGACGCCCCCGAAGGTGAAGCAGCTGGAGCGCCGCAAGAGGCTGGGCGGCGTCACGGCGGTCTTCGAGGCACAGGAAAAAAGGGTACGGGCAGCATCTCTCGGAGCTCCTCGCGGGTTTCTTGGGATGGGCGCTGGGGCCGCCACCCCTGGCGCGCTCCGCGCGCCAGGAAGGGGGGTCTGGCGCCGATCCAAGAAATCCCCGCGAACTTCTGAGAAGTTTCGGTGGGGGCGTTCGTTGAGGATTCGATGAGGACGGCGGCAGTATGCATCCCACAGGCTTCCAGACCGTAGATCCCTCTTCCAGTGGTTCCTTATCCTAATGCCCCCCACCCTGATGTTTGTGCCGTTTTTCGTGCATCCTGAGGTCTTCGAGGACCTCAAGCGGACGCTCGTCTGGGAGCCGCCCCCGCCTGCGAGCCCCTCGGCCCAGCCAGACGCCACCTCGCCCCGCGGCTCGCCGCGGAGCGCCCGGGAGCCCCGCGGCCGGGCGCGCGTCGAGATCCCCGAGCTCAAAGGCCCGCCGACGGCGCACGAGGTTCACGAGCGGCGAGCATATCCGTATCCGCGCCCTCGCGGTCTGGCTTCCGGGGCGCGATCTCGCAGATACGCAGTCGCACGGGCGCGTTCCGCGCGGGCCATCAGCAGCAAGAGCGCCCCGTACCCGCGGGGTCGCGGACCAGGGGCCGGCCCGCGAGGCCGCGGATACGGACATGTGTTTCGCCCACGGGAGGTGGTGCTGCAGCTGTACCAGGCCCCGGGGGGGGGGGGGGGGGCATTGCAACTAGCACGATGAGTTTCTCAAACGCCCTGGTGAAAACTCCCTTTTCGACCCCCTCTCCACCCCCGGCGCACACCCTGAAAACCTTCCTTCCGCCTCCTGCTTTCGGAGACACCTTGGCGAAATTCGACCCCCTCTCCACCGCCAGAGCATATCCATATCCACCGCTGCGGAGTCGTGCCCTGGGATCTCGAGGAGTGGTGGATATGGATATCTGCCCGCCCGCATGGGCGGCCAGATATCCATATCCATCGCTCCTCGGTTCCTTGGGGTACGACCCCGCGGTAGTGGATACGGACATATTCTGGCGGCGCACCCTCTCCCCCGGCGCACATCCTGAAAACCATCCTTCCGCCTTCATTGGCGAAAATCCCTTCTTTCGACCCCCTTTCCCCCGAGCGCGCCCTGCCGACCGCCCCAACACACCGCCTTCAGACGCCCCCCCCCGCTCCGTTCACTCCCGCCGACGACCCCTCTCCACCAGACCCCTTCAAACCAACCACCCCACTACGAGAAAGAGGGGGAGGATTCGTTAGCCCAGCATTGCCCGAAAAGCCAGGAGCACCTTTGGCCAAGATTGCCCCTGGCACTCCGAGAGGAGGAGGAGACGGAGGAGGAGGAGAGAGACGAGGAGGAGGAGGAGGAGGAGGAGGAGGAGGAGGAGGAGGAGGAGGAGGACGAGAACGAGGACGAAGAGGAGGGGGAGGACCAGTCTAAATCCAAGACTCAACGATGTTGCAATAAGCCCTCCCCCAAGCTTCCTCCTCGAGGTCCCTACAAGGACTCATTTGCACTGGGGAACGTGCCCCGTTGGGAGACGACCGTTTGAACATCTTGAAACGTGCCAAAACACCATCCTCAGGATTTCGACGCCAAGACTCAACTTAAGTCTTGCGTCTTGGTGACCCTGAATCTTGCCAGGACGCCAGTCCTAGGACTTCAACGCCGCAGATCCACGTAGCTGGTGTGCACTGACAAGCCTGAATCGCTCAGGAAACGCAATCCTTGGTACGTTAATCATGAGAATACATATACCTCATCCTGTTTGTTTCGTATGTGTGTGTGTGTGTGTGCGCGCGGCTCCCAGTCGAGAGCTATGTTTTGAAAAAGAACCACCACCAAACAGTGAAACGGTTGCAATGTTTTGATGCGAACGCGCGAGGCACGAAGGCGAGAGCCACAGTTTGAAATCGACCCACCTTCAATACGTGAAACGTATGCAAGCTGTCAAACCGAATGCGCGCGGCGCTAACACGAGAGCCACATTTTGGAAACGACCCGCCTTCAATCCGTAAATCGATATCACACATTGTAATATCGAACGCGCGCGGCGATGAGGCGAGAGCCACATTTTGGAAACGCCCCCCCCTCAATCCGCGAAACGAGCGCAATGTGTTAGGAGGAGTGTGCGCGGCGCTGACGCGGGAACTACATTTTGAAAAAGACTTGCCTTCAATCCACGAAACTCTTTGCAAGTCTTTGAAATGACCACACGCGGCGCTAAGGAAAGAACCACGCTCTGAAAACGACCCTTCCTCACTCCGTAAATCGATGTCACACATTGTGAAATCGAACGCGCGCGGCGCTGAGGCGAGAGCCACGTTTTGGAAACGACCTCCCCTCAATACGCGAAACGAGTGCAATTTGTTAGGACGAGTGTGCGCGGCGCTAAGGCGAGAGCTACATTTTGAAAAAGACTTGCCCTCAATCCGCGAAGCTCTTTGCAAATCTTTGAAATGACCGCACGCGGCGCTCAGGCGAGAACCACACTTTGAAAACGACCCTTCCTCACTCCGTAAAGCGATGGCATTTTGTAAAAACGATCGCGCGCGGCGCTGAGGCGAGAGCCACGTTTTGAAGACGATCCCCCCTCAATCCGCGAAACGATTGCAATTTGTTGGGACGAATGTGCGCGGCGCTAAGGCGAGAGCCACACTTGGAAAACCACCCGCCCTGCATTTGCCAAGCTTTTGTATATTTGTTGCTGAGCTTCGGGATTCTAAATGATGAAGAAGTCTCAGGCGAAACGCCTGGCCCGCCCTTCCGACTGGCCTCCGGGCGGGGCAGGGACGAGTTATTCAGTACGACAAGGAATGGAGGAGGAGGAGGAGGAAGAGGAGGAGGAGGAGGACCAGTGCAAACTCATGATTCATAAGCGATGTTGCAATGAACCCTCCCCTTAAGTTCCCTCCCATAATCGTTTCCACTGGGGGAAGTGCCCCTCTGGAAAACAACCGATCGAAAATTTTGAATTGCGCCAGAGCACCATTCCTGGGACTTCAAAGCCGCGAATCACCCTTTCTGTTGCGTCTTGGCAATCCAGACTCATGCCAAAACACCGTTCCTGGGACTTCAACTCTACGAATCAACGTAACTGTTGCGCCCTGGCAGTCCGACATCGTGCCAACGCACACAATTTCTGGACGTTGCGTAAACTCTAGAAACGAATGCGCGCGGCGCTCAGGCGAGACCCACAATTTGAGAAGGAACTGCCCTTGAGGTGTTGAGGCCCATACGGGTTTTGATGAGGGGTCCTCGGGGAGTAGGGGTCTTGCGGCCACATGGCGGTCTTGTTGAGGGGTCGCAGGGGTCATTGTCAAGGGTTTGGGGGCCCATGGGGCTGTCTTGAGAGGTCTTGGGGAGGGGTGTTGAGGCACACGGAGGTCTAGATGAGCACATGGGTGTCTTGATGAGGCGTCATGCGGAGGGGTGTTGGGGCTCATGGAGGTCCTCTCGAGGGGTTCTGTGGAGGGGTGTTGATGCCCATGTGGGTTCTGCTGATGCGTCACCGGGAGGGCTGCTGGCCTCGCCCTGCGTGCCGGGGGCGGGGGGTACTCCTTCGGATGGGGTCCTTCGGATGGGGTCAGGCAGGAGGGGGAGGAGGAGGAGGAGGAGGAGGAGGAGGAGGAGGAGGAGGAGGAGAAGGAGGGGGAGGGGGGGGGAGGAGGAGGAGGAGGAGGAGAAGGAGGAGGAGGAGGAGGAGGAGGAGGAGGAGGAGGAGAGGAGGAGGAGGAGAGAGGAGGGGGGGCCTTCGGATGGGGTCAGTGGTGCAGCCACTGTGCCGGCCGTGGGGGCCCCGCGGTGCCAGGCCAAGAAGCTGCGCCGCGCTGCGAGCAGCAGGCTTGCGGCGCGAGCCAGCTTCGCTGCGCGGCGCTGCGAGGAGGCCGCCTGGCAGCTCTCGCCGCGGCGAGCGGCGACCGAGCGCCGCCTCGCGCTGCCCGCCCCGCCTTCGGGCGGCCGCGGCGCCCTTGGCGGCGGCGGCCGGGCGGCGGCCGCGGAGCGGCGCCGCATGAGCGGCATCGTCTCGAGCTCGCTGCTGAGGCGGGACTCGCGGGCCCAGCTGGCGAAGGCTCGGCACCACCCAGACATGCTTACTCGATCGACCGAACAAAAACAAACGATACCACCCCACCTGCGGCCCTCCATGTTGCGCTACAGCCCAGCGGGGGCCGTAGCGCATACCTCGCAGAAGCCCACGCCAGATTTCCTGGCCCAGGTTCGGCACCACCCAGACATATTGCGAAGGCCTTACGGCCAGCGCCGCCGACCCTGAAGGGAGACGACGACGACGACGACGACGACGACGACGACGACGACGACGACGACGACGACGACGACGACGACGACGACGACGACGACGACGACGACGACAACGGCGGCGGCGGCGGCCCGACACTGCAGGGCGACGACGACGACAACGGCGGCGGCGGCATCGTCTCGAGCTCGCTGCTGGGCGGGACACGTGGGCCCAGCTGGCCACGTCTTGGCATCACCCAGACACATACGGTAGGTTTGCGTCGTGTCGACCAGCGGCGACCCCAGCGCGGGCGTTCAAGGTTGAACGCCGCGGGCGACCCAGAATCGTTCGATGTGGAACGATTTGGACGTTGCGGCAGCGGCCGATCGTTCAAGGTTGAACGATCCAGCGCGGTGTCAGAAACCAACGCCAGGGTCGACACGGCACGGACCTGCCGTATGTATACTGGAGGCCCGTCGGTCAGGCAAGGGCGACGCGCACGCTCGGAAATCCGACGGTATAGGCTGCGTGGCGGGCGTTGTCTGGCCACACCCCTCGGGAAGGGATCTATTGCAAGATGTTGTCCGATACATGTGTATATACATCTATATATGCATATATGTGTATAGATATCTAGTTATATGCATATTCGGATCGGACGTGCGTCCCCAACAGAGGCACATCGTACTACAAGTCGTGTCTCCATGCGCCCCAGAGGTCCTCACGGCCTGGTACCTGACCGTGCGCGGCGGGGCCTACCGGCGCAGGCGCGCCCAGCTGCGGGGCGCGCTGGCCTGGGAGGGCCCAGCGAGGGCCCGCGCCCTGATGGACGTGCGCACCATGCTGGTCGACGCCCAGCGAGTGTCGTGGTTCAGCGCTCCAGTGAGGTTCGGAGGGACGCCATCCATACACCGCCACCAGCCGTGGCCAGGCACTTCCTCGGCCCTGGATCGGTGTGCAGACCTCCGGGCCTCGGCCAGCAGGGCCTGCACACCACCAGTCCAGGGCCCACGATGGGCCTGGCCAGGGCTGGTGGTGGTGTCGTGCTTGGAGCTCGCCCAGAGGTACCCTCACTGTGCGGCGGGCGACGTGCGCTCGACCATTCGAAGAAGGACCATTTGCATAAGCATAACTCTCGGAGCTCCGCGCGGATTTCTTGCATCGGCGGTGTACAGCGCTGGCGGCGTCTCTGGCGCCCCCCCTGCGAGCTCCGGCTGCCAGGGAGGGTCCAGCGCAGATCCAGGAAATCGACGCGGAGCTCTGGAAGTTTATGTTTATGCAGCTTGTTCTTCTTCTGACCATGCCGATGCAGGGGCCGCCCAGCCTCCGCGCGGAGACGCAGCGGGACTTCGCTGGGCTCGTCGACAGCGTGCGCCAGAGGCTCCACGCCATGGTCGCGTCCGAGAAGGAGAACCTGGCCGAGCGGGACCGGGAGGTGGTGCATCAGTGGATGTTCCAGGACAACACAAAGGATCTGGGGCAATGTGAGGGGGGAAAGGCTCAAGAGGGGACGCGTCGACCCCGAAACGCCCACTTCTCGCCGATCAGGGCCCGATAGCCCACCCCGCCCAGGAAGATATGGATTCGCTATCGGAGGCCTATCGCCGATCCATCGGCGATGCATCTTCCTCCCCATGCATCAACGACTCCAAGTCGATATTTCCCCACCTGGAGCCAGTCCCGCCTTCCTGTCGTTGCATCTCGAAGGACGTCAAGAAGCTTCGCAGGCAGGGCGAGCAGGCCGATCGCCAGCTGGAGGCGGCGAAGGAGCTCCTGGTGAAGGCCCCCGCCTTCCTGCGGCTCGTGGAGCTCGTGCACGCCACGTTCTTGACCTGGAGCGTGGAGGACGCGGCGACGCTCCTGCTGCAGGCCTTCCAGGACACCTCCTCCTTGCAGCTGCCAGTCATGGCATACCCCGGGCTGGCCCCCGCCAGCACCTCCGGCGCTGCCGCCGCGGCTGTCTTCCAGACGAGCCCGAGCCACGTCGAGGTACAGGGGCATTTGAACGCTTTGCTCGAAGCCGTGGTGGACGCGGCGGAGCCCCTCCTCGAGATCCAACAGAAGGATCCGCCGCAGGAGAATCCCAGTTCCCGCAGCGCAGACGGCGAGGCTGATGGGCTGGAGCGCGCGGGCAAGGAGGAGACCAGCCTGATACGACTCTACCTTTCCTCATCGCGACCCTACAGGCAAGCGGTCAAGGGCCTGGACAGGCAGCTCAAGCGCTGCTTCCGGGCCGCGGAGAGGTGCCTGCGGGGTGCCCACGAGCAGCTCGGGGAGCCGCTGTCCGTGCACGCCGCCCTGCTCGCCTGTCTCTACGCGGACCGCCCAGGCCTCGCCCGCCACATCGCCCACTGGGGCCCGCCCGGCTGCGGACCCGAGCCCGGGGCGACTGCGATCGGCAACAGGCTGCTGGCCGACTTCGTCTTCTTCTGGCTCGCAGGGCCCCACGCGCACCTGGGCGAGGCGAGGCAGATCCTGCAGCCCCTCTTCCACTGCGTCGCCATGGTGTGCGCGAGCGACCCAGGGCTGAGCCTCGAGACGGCTCCCCTGCCAGCCGGGGGCCTCGGCCAGCCGCCTCGGGGCGGCCCGGCGGTCGTCGAGGAAGCGGGCGAGGCAACAGCTGGAGGCGCTGGCTGCGCCCGCCTCTACCCGGCGTTCCGCGACGTGCAGCGCGCGTCCGCGAGCCTCTCGGACCTGCTGCTGAGGCAGGTCGTGCGCGAGGGGAAGTTCGCCGAGCACGTGGAGGGCTTCCCGGAGGGCCTCGAGCAGGCGCCCGCGCTATGCAGCTGGTTCCGGGAGCTGGTCGAGAGGTGCCAGCGCTGGCACGACGCGGTGAAGGGCATGCGCCAGGTGCACCAGTGCGGGCCCTTGAGGCTGGACATGAGCTTCCTGAGCTTCTCCGCGGCGCAGGTGCCAGCGGCACTGCTGGGCGCCGGGGCCTACCTGCTCAACCTATACGCGGTCCGCAGCGGCCGGACCCTCTTTCGCAGCGTCCAGGCGGCCCTGGGAGATATAGCCACGGAGCCTGCCAGCCTGGCCGAGATCGTGCGCGAGATGCTGCTCCTTCGCGGAATGCACGCCCGAACGCTCGAGTACAGAAAAGACCACAAGCGTCTCGAGGAGCTGTACCAGGCTCTCGCGGCTGCAGCCCGCTTGCCCGTGCTGACGACGCCTGTCTCGCGGCTAGTTGGCACCCAGGTGACCTTGCACGTGGACCGCGGTGAAGGGGAGGTTTTGTCGCAGCTCGGCTTCGACATGTGGAGGCAGCCGGGGGGCGGCCTTTCGACGGCAGCACTGGCGTTCTTGGTGGAGACCGCTGGGGAGTCCCTCGCCCTCGTCGAGACGCGTGCTGGGAGCCTCATGGGCGACGTGGCCGGCCGCGCCAGCCCTTTCCGGGGCCGCGCCGAGGAGGCGGCGCGCGAGGTGTCCTTGAACGCGGAGGCGCTGCTTTTGGAGATGGAGTCCGCCCTGTCGCCGTGCGACAGGTTGGCTGAGGACGCGCGCTTGGCAGAGGACCCGCGGTGGACGTCGTGGCTCCGCGACGACGACGACGTCGGCTACGGTGGCCTCGACCCCTCCTCCCCTGCCTTCGGCACGCCGGCGCCCCCGCCGATACCCCGCAGGCCGCTGGTGAGAACGATCAGCGGGAAGTCGCCCCCGCTCAGCACAGGCGACCACTACACGCACCAGGAGGTCCAGGCGGCGCTGGCCAGCTTCGAGGGTCCCTGCGCTGAGCTGCAGCGCCGTGGGAGCCTCGTCGCGCAGTACCAGGAGCTCACGGGCGGCGGCGGCCACCCGCTGCCGAGCGCCGCGGACGGCAGGCATGGAGTGGTGCAGCAGAGGCTGTCGGCACTGCAGGCGTTCTGGGGCAGCGTGCGCGAGTGGGACCGCCTCGTGGACGGCTGGCTGGAGTCGCCCCCGGCAGATGTCCGCATCGACGAGGTGCAGCGCCATGTCCGCAGCACCCTTCGCGCTGCCGCGCGCTGCCCAGAGGGCCACATGACCCTCCTCCGTCAGCGCGTCGACCGCCTGCGTCGACTGCTGCCGCAGCTCGCGCTGGTGCAGTCCCTGGCAGCTGGCGCCCCGCTGAAGGGCGGCGCGGAGGGCGGTGCGCCCGCGCTGCATGCGAGGCTCCTGCGCCACTCGCTGCCTGGGCGCACACGCCGCGTACTCCAGACGCTGTCGGAGATGCTGTGCAGGCGCCCCGCGGACGCCGAGGGCACGAGCAGGCCAGTGCCCAGCTTGGGCGGCGTGATCCGCAGAGGCTTGCTGAATGACGGGGAGTACATTGCCCGGATCTACCAGCTCGCCGTCGCGGACGACGGGGGCGAGCCCCCCGAGGAGACAGCCGCGCCCGCTGGCGGCGGCGGTGAGCGGGCTGGTGCCGAGGAGGGCGCCCCGCCCATCGCAGCGGAGGCCGACATGCCCCCCGTGGAGCAGCGGGCCGATGGGCCCGCGCCCGGCGGCGCAGCAGAGGCGGCCGCGGCGCAGGAGCTCGCGCCACCCGTGGCCCCGAGGCCACCCTCGGCCCGGCGCGGCAGGCCCACGCCGCCGGCCGCCCCGCGGGCGCCCGCCGCGGCGGTGCCGCTGCCGCCTCCGCTGTGCCGGAAGCCCTGGAGGGACCGCGGCGCGCCGCGCGAGGCCATGCCGCCGGGCGAGCGGCGCGCCTGGAGGCTGCCGCCCACCGCCGAGCTGGGCGGCGGGCTGGGAGGCGGCGGGGATGCCCCTCCGCACCGAGAGCAGCTGCGCGGGCTCCGAGGCAGCTTCAGTCGGACGCAGGAGAGCTAGGGCTGAAGTGGGAGGCGGAGGTTGCAGACGAGGCGTAGCCACTGCTGTGGGCACAGATAGAGGGCTCTGGCATGCGCATGCATGCGCCGTGAAACTGAGCGGGTGTACGTAACTCCCGGGCTAACCAGTCCGCCAGTCTCCTCGGACTTCGTGAGGTGAAGGTGGGGCTGGGGGGCGGGCAGCTGGAGCATGGTCTGCATATCTGCACGCATTGCTGCTCGCAGGAGAAATCGCTCCGCGGTAGCCTTTGTTTCACAGAACTGGCTCGCTTAGGCGGGGCGCTTGCTTTCGCTGACTTGTGCTAGCCCGTGCCTTCCTTCTTTCCATCAGCGGGCGCTTCGCCCATGGTCGCGGTGGAAGCTGGGAGGGGTGAGGGGCTGGTGCGGCGTGGCTGCGCCGTCGTGATTGTTACATTGCTGTGCTGGTCGCCTCAGCGACGAGCGCCCAGTGCACTTCACGAAAGATAGAACGATCCGTGTGTCTGCAGTTGTCCTCTGTGGGCGTTCGGGGAGCGCACCTACACTGCGTTTCTTCCTGGTGCTGTGGCGCATTTCTGCGCAGCTTCTCGATCTCACGCGCTCCCCGTTCGTGTAAAGAAAGGGGGCGGGCTGGTGTCGGAGTGCTGCGAGAGGAGGACTGGATGGCCGCGAGGCTACGGGAGAGCTTCTGCAGGTCTTGCGCCAGGGTCTGGCCCAGGGCTCGACCTAAAGTGTGTTTTTGGTGATTTCGTGGGCCGTTTTCATTTTGATGTTGTTTTCCAGCAAAGGCGGAACGAAGACAGAGCGAAGAAAAACGAAACAAAAACAAACACGACGAACATTGTTTAGCTCGGGACCTGATGCTCAGTTTCAGTGCCGACCCTGAGCCTGACCCCAGGCGTTGCGAAATCAGACGCTGTTGGGGGCCACTACGATGAGATCAGGCATTGCTGGGTTGCGTCGCAATAACGTCTGACCAGGTCCAGCGTCGTGGCACCCCCCCTCCTGTTTGGGGGCAATCATATGTTTGAGCATCTTTAGCTAATTGCCAATAGTAGGAAACCCCATTGGCCCATTGGTTCGGATAGATATTCAAAGATATTTAAATACACTTCAAATGTTCAAACGGGAAGATTTGGGATTTGGGCTGGGATTCGGGACACGTGCTGGGGTGGAAAACGCACCGCCCGGTTGACCAGCCACCCTCCCCCCGGGAAACCAACGCGCACAGTAGATTGCGCCGCGCATGCGTTGCGGTCGAGTGCCAGGGGTGGCCCAAATCTGGCGCGCTCAGATGCGAGCGCCACTCCACGCTTCGCGCGCTGACGCGAGGTCGAGCTAAAATCCCAAAGACAAATTTCCCCACTCCCATTTGGGCAGGCATCAGTCACGCTGCAAGGGCGGCGGAGGCACGCAAGACCACAACGTACTGAGCAGGAGCAGGAGGAGGAGGAGCAGGAGGAGGAGCAGGAGGAGGAGAAGAAGGAGGACGAGGAGTAGGAGGAGGAGTAGGACGATGGGGAGGAAGAAGAAGAGCAGAACGAGGATCAGGAGGAGTTTGAGAAGCAGGAGGAGGACCAGCAGGAGGCAGAGAAGGAGGAGGAGGAGGAGGAGGAGGGGGAGGAGGAGGAGGAGGAGGAGGAGGAGGAGGAGGAGGAGGAGGAGGAGGAGGAGGAGGAGGAGGAGGACCGAGCCCGGCGCCTCGCGGCCTGGGCCAGAGAGCCCCCCTCCTCCCAGAAAGGGGGGCAATCGCGCGCGAGGGCTCGGAGAGGAAGAGCTCTCGCTCCGAGCACGCCGCGCTGCCCCCGAGGGGCGAGGCCGGGAGGCCCGGGAGGGGAGAGGTCCTGGGCCTCGATTGGTGGTCTCCAAACCAAGTGGTGAGACACCCGGTGGTGACCCCGATTCCCCAAAAAATGAATTCTGGGTCACCACCGGGTTTGGGGACGCGCGGTCGCCACGAGGTTTTGCGTTTCCTGGGCCAGCCAGCGCTCGAAAACCATTGCCCAAATCGCCCAAAACTCACCACCGGGTGTTCTCACCACCACGTTTGGGGGCCACCAACTCGAGACCCCGCGCAGACATCTCGGAGGCAACGAGCAGGGCGAGCATCCCCAGGGGAGAGCAACACATGTCACCGCGATGAGTCTTCAGACCCCCCCAACAGGGTGGAACTAATTTTTTTTGTCGGTTGCCTCATCGAAGGACTTGGATCCCACCAGTAGGGGGTAATCAGTTATTTCTGTTCGGCAGCACCCGCCGCGCAACGACGACGACGACGACGACGACGACGACGACGACGACGACGAGGAGGAGGAGGAGGAGGAGGAGGAGGAGGAGGAGGAGGAGGAGGAGGAGGAGGAGGAGGAGGAGGAGGGGGGGGAGGGAGGAGGGGGGAGGAGGAAGAGATTTCTAGTCACCGCCGAGTGACAAGGGAGGAATCAAAACTAAGACCTGCTGATATTATCCAGGGGTGCCGATGGTCCATGCCTTCGACGAGGCTCCAGGGCGAATGCGAGTAACGCTCGCCTATGGACTATTCGCCCCGATCGTCGCCACCGAGCATCGTGCGTCTCGGGAAAATCGATATGGAGTTTTTTTCAGCCACGCGCAGAGGGGGGGAGGTGTTGGGGAAGGCTTCTTAGAAGCAACATGTTTCTCAGGAGGCGCGGGCCTCATCAAACGATGTAGGGCCGGCACCTTCTAAGATGCAGCCTCGTTCTAAGGAGCCTTCCCCCCTCCCTCCACCCCCTTGTGCGCGCCGCGCGCCGTCAGCTAATGAGCACATGAATTCCTTCGCCACCCTACGCTTCCTCTTGCTCCAGTTTTGTTCTGCGCGTCGCTTCGAGAATGTCACCTTCGCCGCCGACGCGGCCCGACGGCTTGAGAGCGCGTCATGGCCATCCTGTCTGACAACCTCGCCGCCCACTCGAGTGGGGTGTGACGTCCTCAGGCGTCCGATTGGATTTAGCTGTGACCAGACATCCAGAGGTTTTTCATAGTGTTCGGTCTCTCGGGGCCCTCACCAGGCCTCGGGACCGTCGTTCAACAACGACCCGGGATGAAAAACCTGTCCAGGGAAAGTTGTCGAGGGGTCGGAGCCCGTGTCTCGAAAAGATCGAAGCGCCCGATCCCTGGGGAGAAACCTCGGGGGAGGGGCGGCCGCCCCGCCTCTTGCCTGGCGCCACGGCGCAGGAGATCTGGGCCCGGGCGCGGGTCAACATCTCGGTGCATGGCCTCTTTGAGGGGCAGCGGGTGGGGGAGTGCTTCGCGCGGAGAAGAGCACCTCGGTCGATCGGAATCGGCTTGAGGTGCTGAGGTCGGCGTTTCGGGGGGATGCGCCGCTCTCGGCCAGATCTGGGGCCCAGGTGGGGCCTCCGGTCCTCGTGCTCCTCGCCCTCACCTCAGCGAACAGCGCCGGCGTCGAGCACTCGATGCCACCGCCAGGGGGACTGATCTGCCTGGGCCCTGCGAGGCGGTGGGTATCGATACGTGGGGCTTTCCAAAAAATGGCCTTGCCTTCGAGGACCGAAGGATTTGGCAACTCCTCCTCGGCGGAAGGCCGCGGGAGGGCGGCGGAAGGCGGCGGAAGTAAACCTGGGCCGCCTCCGCCGGCGGAAGCTGGCGGAAGGCCGGCAGAAGCCAGCGGAAGCGAAAGTCGATTCCCCAAGAGATTACATTTTGGGGGTCTCAGGGTTTCTGGAGTCCACCATCTGTGTTCTGCCGTTGCTTGTTCGCGGCCACAGCGCAGGCGACCTTGCACACGTCGACGATATTCCGGTGCCCTGGGAGGCGTTGGACATAGTCATTCTGGTCGGACGCCAGGGGGGGATAGGGAAAGGGGGCGGGGCTGGGCAAAACCTGCTGCGTGCAGCTGGTTTCGGCCCCACCGCAGGGCGCTTTCCTCGATGCGGGGCTGACGTAAGCTGACTTGAGTCGATTTGAGCTGATGAGTTGACGAGCTAACGGAGGAATCAGTCACGTGAGCTGATTTGCCAGACTTCGCTCTTTGCTCTCCCCCCCCCTTCGTCCGACGCATGCCATGCTCGGGCCCCCGGAAGCCCAAGGGAATCCGTACCCTTTGCCCCCACGGGGTTCTGGGATATCGGCTCTCCAGGCGGCGGAGATGCACAAGTGCTGGCCCTTGCGGGAGAGTCACCGCGAGGGCGGCGGGCCGCTTGCGGCAGCACACGCGCGCGCGCACGCGCGCGCGCTTGCGCGCGCGCGCCTGCCAGGCGCAGTCCGCCGCCGTGAAGGCCGCGCGCGCCTACTGGGGCCAGTTCCGCGACGAGGCGGCGGCGCCCGGCGGCCCGCCCTGCGGATCTCCTGGGGGACCGGCTCGGTTGAGGTGCTCTGCTCGGAGGGCTGGCCGTGAGCTGCTCAACGTGCTCGCAAGAGAGGCGTGCTGTATTGGCGGCGGCTGCGTGTGCGAGCAGAGAAGGAGGATGAGCAGGAGGAGGGGGGGACCAGGAGGAGGAGTTGGAGGAGGAGGAGGGGGAGGAGGAGGAGGAGGAGGAGGGGGAGGAGGAGGAGGAGGAGGAACTGCTGAAAACTTTTATAACAGCGCGGCGTGAAGGCGAGAGCCACATGATGAAACGAAGCCGCCCTGCATCCGTGAAACTGCTGCGAACTTTTAAGACGAAAGTTCGCGGCGCTAAAGCGAGAGCCACGTTTTGAAAACGACCCTCCTCCATCCGTGAGGTGGTTGTACATTTTAGGATAAATATTCGCGGCGCTCAGGCCAGCGCCACATTCATAAAACGGCCCGCCCTCCTTCCGTGAAATTGCTGCACAGTGTTAAAACGAGTGTGCGCGGCTCGAAAGCGAGAGCCACAGATTGCAAACGGGTCGCCCTCCGCCCGTGAAGCTGTTGCACGTTTCAATCCTCGGGGTCCTAAGCGATGAGGCTGTCTCAGGCGAACCGCCCATCCCGCCCTACCGACACGCCTGGGGGTGCGACAGGAAGGAGTCGTTTATAAGGAAGGGGGGGGGGAGAGGAGGAGCGAGAGGAGGCGTGCCCATCAGTGCTTGGGGAACCAGGGCAGTGCAAACCAGGGCTGTGCAAGATGCAGCGGGAGCAGACGAACAGGGGCGAGTGTCGCGACCCACGTCCGCAGTTCTTTGCTCGTGCGTGCCAGCGCCCTGGTTTATCAGGGCTCCGTTTGCGGGGCGCTTGGCCCTGGGGTCCAAGAGCCGCCCGGTGATAGACGGCCCGGTGATTTCGAGATCCCCGAGCTCGGGCCCCCTGCGTCGTGAAGCAAAACGCATGACAGAAGTTCCTTCCTGTGTGATGTTCAGCCTCTGGGGGCCTGAACAGGGCCCCGAGGCCGTCAAGAAAGTATTCGAGATGGGAAGCCAGCCCCTGGAAGCGGGTCCCGACCTCGGGGGGGTCTGGCAAGACGGGAAGGCCTCACCCGACGGTCCGTCGCCAGACGGTCGTGGGACCCTGGAGGCCCAGGGCACGGAAGGCATCCTCGGATCACGACCCGAGCTTCGAAGGTGTCCGCGAACTGACCCCGACGCACCGTTGACTCACCAGGCGGTGTGGTCACTGGACCTTTCTGGGGATCCTGAAGCCAGTTTCATCCCGAGTTCACCAGGCCCCAGTCCTCCCCACGGGCGAAGGGGCCACAAGGGCAGGGGCCACAGGCCTTTTGACGAGCGAGGGCCCGCAACCCGTAACTGGAGCAGCAAGGCAACATCAATGTAGACGCGCATTTGCATGGACGTACGCTCTAGCAGCTGTGAGGGTCCTTGCGCAGAGGCAACACGGCCACGAAGCTCGGGCGCGCCCGCGCATTGCATCATGATGCAGAGCTACCAGTTATTTTGATCCCTCCATCACCTCCGATCTCTTCTTTCGCCCATCCGTTGGGTGCAATTTCGCCCTCTGGGAACGCAAGAGGCGGGGGCAACACTGTGCCGCTAAGCGGTTGCGACGCAATGCCTTTTGCCTGCATATGGTTCATTATGCACATTGCTGGGCTGGTGCAAATGCACCCTCTCGCCTTTACATTGCAACAGCTAGGCGTTTTGGCGTGCGCAGGGTGCGTTGTGTCGGGGGTCGTGGCTCCGAGATCCTGCAGGACAGGACTGGCCTCGAGAAGTTGGATGGGAGGATCACCCCCACATGCAAAAAGGCGATGTGTTCGCTTCGAGCCAGGGAGTTCTTCAGCACCGTAAAGCCAGTTGGCGACGTCGCTGCATCAGATGGTAGCCTTTCGAACTTGGTCGAAACAAGCATCGATCAAAAGTTAAGCTTTCGACTCGAAGCGTGTTGGCGCTGGAAGGCGCGGCGGCCTTATGCAAAGTTCAGTACAGTCCGCAGACTCTGCCCAGTTCAATCCACAGCCCACAGTCCACAGTCGCCGCCAGACTGACAAGTGGGCTTGGCTTGTAGGGACCAGTCGCACCTTACGATTATTGCCGCCAGCATTGGCATCTGCCAGTCAGCTTGCCAGACCAGGCCTCCAACGCATTGTTTTGTCAGCAAGGGGGATCAAGGCTCTCCTCGACCGTATCTTTAGTATGGATTTCGCTCCGTGGACCGTTTTCACTGGACCCAGGGTACAAACATGTGTTCACGTGTTCGAAACGCAGATGGAGACCCAGACATCCTACGGATTGATGCTTGTCCATGTGTGGGCCCCAGTGGTCTTGACCCAGTATTTTCCCTGGGGGCGCATCATGCTCCTAGGATTCATGTGTGATTGTCCCTGGGCCCCAACCACAGCCCCCGTATGCCAAGATGGACGACACACTCAAGAGTTTAACACCAACAATAGGAGCAATAACGGCAGCAACAATAGCAACAATAATTTTAAGACTGTTCGCCCTTTTATGCTCGAGCGTCCAATAACGCGTATTTCCCAAACCCTCGATACCCGCCCTCTTCGTCTTCGATCGAACCCCTTTTGGGGGGTATACCTTTCTTCCCTGCAGGCCGGGCCCCGGCAAGCGGCGGGGCGGCCGCGGACCGTCGGCCTGGCCAGCGGCAGCGCTGATCGGCGGGGCGGCCGCGGACCGTCGACCCGACCCCAAGAGGGACGGACAGGGGACCGACCACGACGACGTCGACGACGACGGCGACGACGACGACGACGGCGACGACGAGCGAAAGCGAGAGCGAGAAAGAACGACAGCAGGGCCACGAAGGGCACGAAGTAGGCCACGAAGGGCGACAGCGGGGACACGAAGGGAATGCGTATGGGGCCACTCAGAGCGCGAACGAGCGGGGGCCACGAAGTGCAGATAATGCGGGGCCACAGAAGGAATGGTGCCAGTGAGGGTAGCAACTGGGCCACGTAGGACAGTAAGGGGGACACAAATTGCGACAGCGGGGCCACGAAGGGCATGCACATGGGGCCACAACGGGCGCGACTCCGCGGCGCTTGGGCAAATTTGAGGAAATCCCAACGCAAGGCCATTCTTCAGTAAGTTGCAAGCAAGTCTCCAGCGAGAGCGCGACGCCAGAGCGCCGGGAGAGCGATTCCTGAATAAATCGTAACGGAGTCCCAAGCGAGCGCGCGATTCTTGAAGAAAATGCGAGGAAGTCTCGGGCGGGAGCGGGGGTCCTGGCTAAATTGTAAGGAAGTCTCAGGCGGGAGCCGTTGTTGTTTTAACCCGGGGGCCAGTGGACCAGTTTGAGCAGGAAAACTTTCCCTGTCAAAAAACAGGGTGCGAGCGTCGAGGGGCACATTTTGATTGAGAAAAAACAGTATGCACCGGCGGGGGGGACCAACAATGATTATTTTTCAGAAATGAGAATTCAACCATAACAACCACAACAGCAATCCCATGTTTAATAATGTTCGCTCTTATCTGCCGTCGTGCCATTCAACACGTATATCCCACATCCTCGATACCCGCCCTCTTCGTCTTCGATCGTTCCCCCTTAGGGGTATATCTTTCTTACCTGCAGCGTGTCTTCCGTGCAGCCGGTAAGGCAGAGGAAGGGAGGAAAGGAAGAGACAAGAGGGGGGAGGAGGATGGAGCACGAGAGAGACTAGCATGAGAGGGCCCAGGAGCAGAAAACACGTGGCTGAACCAGACGGGCAGATCGGGCGGGTAGACACTAACAAACGTGTCGGGAAGGCAGGCCCAGGCGGCCAGGTCGAGCAGGCGGGTTGCTGAAGCGTGCGTCCTGTATGAATCGCGACTAAGTCTCAAACGACAGCGCGATTCCCAAATTAACCGCGAGGAAATCCACAGCGAGAGCGTGATTCCTGAGTGTCGAGGGCGCAGCGTTCCAATACATTGCGAGGAAGTCCCATGCGAGAGCGCGATTCTTGCATACATTGTGAGGAAGTCCCGCGCGAGAGCACGATTTGGGAGTACACTGGAAGGAAATATCATGCGGGAGCCGTTGTTGTTGTAACTCGGGGACCAGGGGCCCAATTGGGTGACACACAGTTTCTTTTGTTAAAGACCAGGTGTGAACCCTGGGAGAGGGAAGCACTTTGAATTGAACAATTCAAAAATGGTTACCGGGGGACCAACAACAGTTGTTGATAATAAGTGGGGTTGCAACAACAGCAGCAACAGCAGCTTCTATCTGCGCGCGTGTCAGCCCCATACCTGCCCTCTTCGTTTTCGATCTCACCCGCCTTAGGGTATATCCTCCTTATCCGCCACGCGTAGTTGGCGCAGCTCTTAATACAGGGAGAGCAGGGGGACGGAAAATGCACCCAGCGAGGACTAGGAAAGAAGCGCGGGAAGGGAGGGAAGAGGGAAGGGGAAAAGGGGAGGGAGAAGGACCGAGCACGAGAGGTATTAGCAGGAGAAGAGTTAGGAGTAGGAGAATAAGCGATAGAACCAGACGGGCGGGTCGGGCGCGCGGACCCTGACAGATGGGTCGGGCGGGCGGGCCCTGACGGCCGGGTCGAGCGAGCGGGTCGTTGAAGCGCCAGTCCTATAAATCACGTGGACGTCTTTAGCGTGAACACGATTTCCAAATAAACCTTCGGGAAATCCAGAGCGAGAGCGTGGGTGATTCCTGAGTGTCGAGGGAGCGGCGTCGGGAAACAGTGAGAAGGAAGTCCCGCGCGGGTGTGCGCTTTCTATGCCAATGTAAGGGAGCCCCGAGCGGGAGCGCAACTGTTCAATACGATGTGAGGAACCATGTGGCGGGCACCGTTGTTGTAGTTCGGGGCCAGCAACCCAGTCTGAGGCTCAACGCTTTCCGTGAGAGGACCAGTGGTGCGAGCCCCGGGAGGGGCATTGCAATTGAAATGTCCTGTGGGCATTGGAGAGGGGGGTCAACACGTATCATTCTTGGAATGAAGAGCCCGAC